TACTTGAACTAAGTCTGGGTAGAAGAATTTGGCAGAAAGAAAACCACTGGTTCTGGTAATTTTCATAACTAAGCGATACTGACTTCCCTTTTCATGGCTTACTATTACTGATTATTTACTGTGATCCATTCGTTATAGACTGCCTGGTCATTGTCCTTGGTGTCTTCTAGCAGAAGTGAGTCATTTTTTCTTAATTTATGCATAAGTTTTCAGCATTTTGTGTATGAATAGCTGTGCAAACGTTAAGGAATGAATTTTAAAGGATGTTTTGAACTTTTGGTCCCAAAAATATGGGGGGAAAAAAGCATTTCTTCTCTTTTCATTGACTGCTTTACAGAAACAGGTCGAGTTCTGTTCTTCTGCTGGGAAAAGAGAAACCTGACGTGACGAATGTGTTACAGACATGGCTGCCTCCCCTGCACACACGCCGTCTCTGAGTCTGCGCCTGGACCCCTTAGTTTATTTCTGCAGCGAGTGGGAAAGTTGCATCTGAATTTAAGGACATTGCCTTATTCCAAGCTAAGCATACACACAGGCTTTTGGAACAGCAACTGATGAGACGTGTGTTCTTGAAGATTCCATTGGTTAAGCTTGGGCATTCACACAGCAGCCACAACGTAACTGTCCATCTCCCGGGAAGGATGGGAAGAGATTTCTCAGTGTCCTAAAGCTAAGACTAAATCCTCAGCTCTTTTGTTTACTGCCCTCTTCAGCCCAAGTTTTTGTGCCTCTGGGAGGAACCTGTCCAGTAAAATGAATGTTAGAAATGTGAGCCGGGCTGAGTGTCAGGAGGTGCTGAGTGGGCAACAGTTGCCCTTCCTGTTTCTGAACAGGTGGCCTCATAATCCATGTGGCCAATTTTACGTCTGCTGTACTAACCTGAGAACAGGCGTTTTCCTCTGAAATCAAGGGTTAGTAGCCCTACCAGATATCGAAATGTATTATAAAACTACAATCATGAAAAGAGCTTGGTCCTGCTGTATGAATGGACCTTTATTATTTATTTTTTATGACTTCTTTTGGGGAGGGGGATTAGGTCTATTTGTTTATTTTAGTTTTCAAATTTTTAATGGAGGTGCTGGGAACTGAACCCAGGACCTCGTGCATGCCAGGCACACACTCTACCACTGAGCTACATCCTCCCCCCGAGTGGACCTTTAGAACAACAGGAAAGACAAGAAAGCCTGGAAACAGACCCCCACATCCATGGGGAGATTTAGTAGATGATGTAAGTGTCATTTCAGGGCCATCTGGGGTGGTTATTCAATAAATAATGCTGGGACAACTGGTTACCCTTTTGGAAAAAAATAAAAGTTAAATCCCAATTTACATCAAAATAAATTCCAGATGGTTCAGGGATCAAAATGTTAAAAGTAAAAATACGAAAGTATTAGAAGAATCCGTGGGAGAATTTACTATTATAATCCTCTTGCGGAAGCAGTCTTTCTGGGCAATACATGAAGCCCATAAAACTTAAAGGAAAAAGAAATGGTAACCATTTTGACAACATAAAATTTAAAATTTTCTGCAAGACAAAACATACAAAAAGTAAGGTCACAAGACAAGTGATAAGATAAAGGCGGGAGACATTTGCAGTCTACCAAAAATGAACAAGCATGTATATAACAACAAAGTGCTCATTTGCACAGCATGTCAAGAATTCTCATAAATCAGGGGGAGGGTGTAGCTCAGTGGTAGAGCACATGCATAGCATGCACGAGGTCCTGGGTTCAATCCCCAGTGCCTCCTCCAAAAGTAAGTAAGTAAACCTTATTACCTACCCCTCCCCCCAAAAAAACTTTAAAAATAAAAAATGAATTCTCGTAAATCAGAGCCAATCCCAACCTTCCCAGCCCCCGTGCTCTTACTGACTGCACTGTACTGTGTGAGAATTAAATAATAAGCTTTTGTCACAGTGCCTAAGACGGAGCAAGCACGCAAATAAATAGCTGTATTCATTTCTATTAATGGTAATGATACCGGTGACAACAGCACAGTTTTATATAAAAGGACGCTACATTTGGTATACTGTTCTATAGCTGTCTCTCTCCCTCCGTGAAGTCAAGCCTCTAACTGCTATCTTGGCTACCAGACCGGAGCGGAGGAGGTGATGTTTGCCTCCCGCCCTTCTGGCTCCTTCCGTTGCTGCACTCGGGGGCCAGACGTGGGCTTTGCTATGAGGAGCGACGGGCCACTCACTCCGTCAGGGGTTCCTTCCCCGCGGGAGGCCAATCTGAGGGCTTCAAACTCTCACACTGCGGGTGAGGAGTGACGCTGGTACAAGCTTTCCGAAAGACTAACGTCTTCGAACCCCGCGATTCTGCCTGTAGGATCCACAGCATTTAGCTGCCAGCACAGGCATCACAGAGTTGTTGTCCTTGGCAGCAAAGGAAATGGACACATGCAACGTCCAGAGACAAGAGACCAGCGACATGAAGCAGGCTGTGTTCATGCTATGGAGAGCTGGGGCTTCTGAAAACGCTGTGAGGGAGGACTAGTAAACGTTAGAGTCAATCAGGAATATTAAGCGAAAAAAAACAGGTTTAAGCCTGTGTCCCTCCATCCCTTACCAGACTTTATTGAGTGTCTCCTACGTGCACTGCAGCCCTAGGCACCTGGGATACAGGAGTGGGAAGAAAACCTGTCTTCCGTGAGCTTATATTCCACTGGAAACAGGAAATAGATAATAAACAGTTTAATAATTAATTGTTAATTGATATACTAATGTATTGGTTATCTTATAAATAGAGGATTCCATAAAATTCAGCATCTGGTACAGAGAAGCACTCTAGAAATGCAGGGAGGGAAAATGAGAGTAAGAACATAGGAGATGTGTTGGCGTCGTGGTGGGTGGGGAGTTTTTTGGGTGTTTTCTATGGTGGTTGGGGAAGGCCTCCCAAGGGGGTGACTTTGGTGCAGAGAGCTCCACGTTTGTTAGTTGGGCAACTGGCAGACTGGCTTTGGGGTCCACGGATGGGATCTGGTGAGGCAGGCACTGGGGGCTCCCCCAGTGCCAAACAAAAAGGGCTTCGCTGCCAGGTAGTAACCCCTGTACTGAAGCCCTCAGCCTCCTCTAGCGGATTGTTCAGTTTTATTACAGAGCTGCTTTCTATTTCTGACCCAGAACAAAGCATCCTTGGACCCACTGTCCATTTGTTTGGTTTAAAGTTGGGGGCCCAGTGGCCTCAGTGGTGTTGATGTGATAACAAAGCTGTTAAACTTTGTGAGCTCTGTGACCACCCTCTCATAATGCAGGCCTCTCTGCACCAGCCATCTCCGAAGGGGACCTCTTGGTCTCTAAGGCCCAGCTCTTCTGTCTGATTTGGAGGACAGCTTTCTCTGTCACCTTGATCCTATCACTCACTCCCAGTTTTCCAGAAATCTGTCAAAATCTCTGATTCTCCCCTCCCCTCCATTCTTCATTTCTAGAGATTTCCTTCCTCTGGGCTGTCTCCCCACATTGCACTGGCATCTGGGGAGGAAGAGCAGCTCCATGTGTGCGTCTTCCTCCCTTGAATTAGAAGCATTTCTATTCATTTCTGCTTTTCCAGACTTTTTAAATGAGTACGCATTTTACATTCATAAGAAAAATAACAACAAAAGCTATTCCTAAAATGGGAGGGATCTAGAAATATATCCTTGCCAGGCGGAAAAGAGAAGAATCGTGTCAGCATTTTGTACCGGGTGTTACAGCTCTCACCAGGAAACTGCTTCCCCACCGTACTTCAGGCTGAATGAGTAAGAGGCTGCAGAATTTTGCCACAGAGCCTCACTTGTGCTTTTTGTTTTCCCCAAGCTGAATTAGAGAGTTCGTTAATGCAGTAAGAGTGTCAAATACAAAGCTTGCTATTAAACAGATGTGTCAGCTGGTGGCGTCAAATGGTGAGTGTTTATCAGCTTGCTCTTGGGATGAACTCGGGTACCCGCTTCTTCTGCTGGTCTTACCGAGGTCACTGATGCATCTCCAGGCAACTGGCAGCCGATGGCCTCACTCACCTGTCTCCGGGCTGGCTGGCTGCCAATTGGCTGGGGCAAGACAGGTGATGGGGCCAAGTGTCTCTCATCGTCCCAGAGGCTAACTTGAGCTTGTTCACATGGTGATGGGTTGCAGGACTTCCATGAGCAGGAAGAGAGGACTCTGCCAGACTCAGGACTCACACAGCATCACTTCCACCGGTCTCCGTGGTCACGAGGGCATAAGTCTGAAGGCCAGCCCAGATTCAGGGAGTAGAGAAATAAACTCCACATCTTGATGGAAGGAGCTGCAAAGTATTGTGGCAACTTTTCCAAGCCTCCACATCAGCAGTCTGCTTCCTAATTCTCATTTTCCGTTGTCTAATTCTGTGCCGTCCTCAGGGTTCTCAGGACCCAGTCTCTGGAATGGTTCTACAGTAACGTGAAGAGCCGCTTCAAACGCTTTGGCAGTGCCAAGGTCCTGAAGAACCTGTACAGGAAGCACCGGCTGGAGAGCGGAGCGTGCTTCGACGTCCAAGGTACGCCGGCCGCCTGCGAGTCGTTGGGGGGTGGCGGGATAGGAGAAGGCCTGGCTGGGAGGCCCCGTGCACGGCGGCACACTCACCCAGGACAGCAATAGTTGCCTAGATATCTGGGTCTAATGAGGAGCAGAAATAGAAGAACACCTACCGAAGATTCTGTTAAGTTTTGAGTCTTTTAGGTCCAGCGTCTCCGCTGGGCTGGATATGTTAGGAGCTGGGAGGACCAGAGTGCTCTGGTACATTGTAGGCATTTTAATTCCAAATCCCGAGAAAGTAAAGATTCATAATCATCTTTCCGTAATGGTTAAAACATTGGAAAATCATCTTTGGTTGTGTAGACTAGGTCTGCACTCGGAAGACAGGCGCCCCCAGCCGCACCTTCCTGCCTGCTCCCAAATTCTGTTCCTACCAGGCCCAGAGCTTGATGTAATGGGAGAGAGGGGAAAGTACCCGCTTCCACCTGAAAGCATGAAGGATGAATTCTGCCTGTGCTGTTAAGACAACCAGTGTATTTAGAATGAGAAATTATATTCTTTATTTCTATTAGACCCGCAGTAAGAAAGAAATGGTTGTCAGGATATGAACAGCATGTCCTCCTGAAAAAGGCTGGGTTTTTTTTCCTGCCTAGAGGCATTTTTTTCATCACTTTGCTGACACAAAAAGGAGGGGGAAAATCAGCCATCCCATTGGGCGCTTTTTCACTGTCATTATTTTTACATTGTTGGATTCACCATCAAGCCTTCGGTTGGGCCTTCTCTAAAAACACGCCAGCCACTGAGACAAGGGGGAAATAAGATGGAAACGTTAAACACGGAGGATCATTAGGGCCTTTGGTGGTGGTCATTAGAATCTCTGTCTTTCAAACCACTCAGGGAGCCTGTAGTTAAGAGAGCAGGGGCCTCAAGGTTTCCACATATTATTTCTATCTTCTCTTTACTGATTTTTCTGAAAATGTTTCTCTAGAACGAAGGCCAAAAAGACAGAAAGCTTAAAAGGAATCCTGGTCACCAGAGGTTTTCAACCCAAAGAGAGATCTCAGGAAAGTTCCAGAATGGAATTGGTCCACTCAGTGGCACCCCATCCTTTCTTTCCTCTCTGGGTCACCCTCACGTCTGCTTTACATGTCACCGCACTCAGATCTCGTAGGTGGTCTCCTCCACTGCTTCGTGCAGAATGGGGGTGGGAAGCAGACACGATTGGAGAATCCTGTAAACAGAGCGCAAGTCCGGTCTCTTTCTGTTCCTCCCTCGGGCCCCGCAGGTGGAGCTGGGGGACATGCATGCCAGGGGGCCAGCAAGAGGCTTTGAAATTTCCAGGTGTTATTTCCAAAGGAGACTCGTGCGCTGGGAATAACTTGGCCACAACTGCAGCAGAGTTAGGTCCCGGGCCGTCTGTGATTCCCCACGTCTTTCTTCTGGGTTTTAGACACAGCGCTTACCACGCTGCGTTCAGGTGATGGTTTACAAAGCTGCTCTCCTGCTGGGCCAGCCGGGGGCAGTGGCTGCTTTATCTCTGTGCTCCCAAAGCATGGCCTAAAGGCTGGCGCCTCTCAGGTCCTCATTATTGCACATTTCAACCTGGAAAGCATTTTGTGGGTCCCAAGACACTGCCTAGAAGCACTGGAGCCAGTTGCTCTAATATGATTCCTGTTTCCATTTAAACTAAAATTTCCTTTTGACCAACATGAAGACGAGCAAGCAAGAGACAGGTTAGGTACGCCTAACTTGTAACTAGGTAGGTGTGACAGTAGGCAAACCTGTAAAGCCGACATCGTGCAACAAGGAGATTTATTCTACACGCCCCCTCGAAAACTGAGTTACACCTCAAGTGTGGAGAAGCCTCCCGGTTCTTACATAGCCCCCTGGTTGTGTTAGGTGACTGGGGAGTCATCAGCGGTGGCTTCTACCTTCCACCCAGCACGTATGGGTGTCATCTGCTGTCCTCAGTCCTGACTCCACATTAGACTCACCTCCGGAGCTTTGAAACAACTCACAGTGCTGAGATCATCTTCCACCCCCTGTCACTTACTTCCGAGTCTCTGGAGGTGGGCCTGGTACAGATACCTTTTAAAGCTCTCCAGGTTATCTTAGGACGCAACCAAGACTGGGATCCTCAGTGAGAACTTCACTACAAGTCGAAGAAGATGGTTCCATCTTCAGCTCCGTCTGAGGGTACTTCGTGTCAGGATTTTGATGGTCAGAATGTGGTCTGCCGTGTGCATGGCGTGTGCTCCGCTTCAGGACTCTCAGTAGAAAACTCCTTTTATCTCCACTGCATGGACCAGGGTAGTTTGCCAGAAACACACACAGCCCATTGAAGATTTGCTGAGTTCACAGAGTCGTTACAGGGCACTCACCGCAGGTACCCCAGGCATTGCCACCGTCCCTCCTCCTGCAACCTGTATCAGGTGACCAGGTGAGGCCTGAAAAGAGACCCTTTCATTTTGTCAGATAAATCCAAGACTTCTTCATTCCTTCAGCAAATGTTGATTGAACACCTGGGTGAAGAGTTGGAGGGGGGACAAGATGGGCAAGACTCTGCCGTTTCAGAGCCAGGTTCCAGTGGAGAAGTCAGATCAATACGGAAATAGATTTATAAAATATATATATTTTATAAATGGTAATGAGTGCTCACGTGGCTTACCTGAGAGATTCAGCATGCCATTTGAAACAGCTATTCTAAAAAGAAGCAGTACATGAAAAGATAAAAGTCACCCTTATTAATAGACTTAATCCCTAGACAGTTTGACAAATAATATGTGCTTTTATTTAGTATTGAATCAATACAATGGGAAAAATAAACCCTGCTTTTATTTATGAATATTATGTGTCTATTTCTGACACGATTCTTGAAAAGAGCTCTGACATCTTTCATGTAGGATTTGACTGGCAGGCATGCTCTTTGAAAAGTGCTGAGTCATGCGAAATCGGAGGCTCCTCCAGCTCTTGAAAGATCTGACTTGATAGTGCTTTCCAGAACAGTTCGGTGGCTTTCCATCCTTGGAAAAAACCCCATCGTCCTAAACGGCACAGAAGCTCCCGCCTACGAATTTAAAGGGACGCAGGGAGGGTTGTTTTACGAGAAGATGTATAGTCGTGCAAAACCAGAGCTTGTCCTGGTCAGCTCAGTCTCCCAAAGGTGCTTTCCGGTCTCCTCTCTCCTCACACTCCCCAGTCTCTGCAGACGGCCTCACCGCCTCCTTCACAGGACAGACCGTGGGCCCCTCTGCATCTGATCCCCGTCACCTTCCACGAAGGTCTCAAGGTCACTCAGCCCTTCCTTCTTGCCTGGTCAGCCTCTCTCTCAACTGGTTCCTTCCTATTGATTTGTAAACACGCCCCGTCTCTCCCGTTTCCTGAGCCCTTCCTGGACTGCACATTTTCCTCCGCTGCCGCCCTGCCACCTCTTTTCCATCACAGGGGCACTCCAGAGGGCAGGCCGCACCCACCGCTTCCTCTCTCCACACCCACCCTGTCACTCCTCCAGGCTGTCCTCCACACAGCAGCCAGCACCCACCTGACCATATCACCCCTGTGGAGGCTTTACTGGCTTCAGGTGGCTGTTGGGACAAAGATTGGAACACTGATGTGGCCACGTGACCTGCGTGGTCTGCCCTCAGGTCCTCTCACCCCAGGCTCCCTCTCCTCCCTACAGCCCAGCCCCACTGCCTCTGGTTTAGCTCTTAAGACGCACCCTGTTCTCCCCACCGCCGGTCCCTGTGCAAGCTGCTGGCTCTGCCCTGGACTGCCTCCCATCCCCACACCCCTTCGGCTGGTTACTCACTGGCTAGGTCAGTCTTCCCTGCTGAACACTTTCCCCATCCTGTGAGCCACCCAATCCGAGTGCTCAACATACCTGCAATTTTATATTTATTTATATAAAATATTTGGTTAGTGAATTCTCACCCACTAGACTATCAATATTATCAAGGCAGTGAGGATTTCTGGCTTTGTTCACCCCTACACCCTAACACCCAGCCCAGGGCTGGGCACCTCCTGGGTTCCCATGGAATGTTTGCTGGGTGCATGAATGGATGCCACATGCAGCCATGCCAGAGTGAAATATTTGCACTTAGATGTACAGCCTGGAAACTGAGGTGATGACTTATCCTGAAGCCTTATTTTATAAGTGAGGAAACAGAGACCCAGGAAGATGAAGTCACTTCCTGACATTCACAGAATAAGAGAACTTGAGGTCTTTTGAAAGCTTGGTCAAAAACCACAAACACAGAATGGTATATGGTCAGACTGAGTCCCCACGACGGGCTGCACACTAAGGGCCAGCTTCATGAAGGCGGCAGCCTGCTGACCCCGCTGCAGGTGCCTGCGGCAGTTCCCCTGGGGCTCCCGCACAGCAGCCCCGTGCCCACCCATCCAGGGAAGCCCGGCTGTATTCTGTGTAGCGAAGGACTGCTGCTTAGTTTGACTTGGCATCAATGACATTTCCCCCTTTTGAGCTAAGACTCGTAGATGCACGTTTATTCTCTTGGTTCTATCAAACAGTGTTTTCCACCAGCATCTAATTCAACAATTTTTTTTGAGTTCCCTGTTGTCTCAGTGCTGTCTTGGACACTGGGGACAATGCAGTGATTTAAAAAGGAAAGGGCTGTCATCCACACCTCCACATCGTCAAAGATCTCATTTGGTGAATTAATATGTTAACACAGATGGTAGATCCCCAACTTAAAAAGAGCTTAGCCAACTGCTCTTTCCAGCCTGGAACTAAGACTAGGGTGTGTGTTCAACTAAGGTAAGAACAGAGAAGAGGCAATGGGGCCTTAAAACGTCAGATGCCATGGATTACCTTGTCTCACTCTGGGTTTGTTTCTGTGAACTGCTAGTTACAGTTAACTCACTGACTAAAGGCAACTGTTTGATGCCACGGACAACAGCTGAAGGCCAGCATGCAGTGTTCCATCGCCCATCCTGAGGACAGTGCTCTCATGATCACAGTTTTTCTAGTAAGGAAGTCAAGTGTCAGAGAGGTTGAGTAACTCGATCAAGGTTGGACAGCTAATAATGTGCAGGTCCAGGAAATGACCTCCTCTCTCTCAGACTTCAATCTGTTTGTTCCATGTTGGATTCCATATTGAGAATCTCTGAGAAGGCTCTGGCAGAGGCTGGGGGTGGCAACAGAGCTACACCAGGAGTCAGCATGAGAAGACAAATGTGATTGGTCAAAATGGGTAGCATTATTGTGGAGCCCAGTGATTCCCTACCCCCGTGTGCGAGGCTAACAACCAGAGTGGGCCATGGGCGTCTGCCGGTCACTGGCTCCACGCCTCGGGCTCACTGAGGACCTGGAATCATCTTTTATCTTCTCCGTCTCTCTGTCTCTCTCTTTTAGGAGGAAGTTTTTTTGAGGCAAACCTGGAGTATGAAGGAAGTATTTCAGGCAGTGACTCAACATTTTATAGGCAGTCAGAAGGTAAGGTTGTTTAAGAGTTTACAACTAATCGGAGGTTAGAGGACTGTCACAGCCGGCCTGTGACATCCTCTGCAGCTGCCTGGCTAAATAAATGGCTTTGACTTTTGCTGGGTTGGTTTGGGAGATTTTATGATGTTTGCCAGACGTCACTTTCTGTCCACATGTGTGCCTTTAGAAGCTTAAGAAGCTTGAATTGGGTTTTTTTAATTAAGGAGTTGATTAATTAATGAATTGATATGTTTACACCTTGTCTCATTCTACAAAGAATCTGAGGCCGCTTTGAGGAGATTTGCACGTGTTAAATAATGCATGACTGGATTATAAATGGAAACAGCAGGCTGAAATCGGGGAAGGAAGACGTGGGCAAGCAGCCCTGCAGACCTCTGTTCTTGCCCCTGACGGGAGTTGGGCTCCTGGGGTGAAACAAGAGAAATGATAAAAATTGTCACTTTCAAGTAAGAAGCAAAAATCCAGGAAGCAGAACTCTTTCAAGTGCTTGGCTCCAAAAAGGATTTTGTCACCTGTGGAAGTCCTCTGACTTGGGAACACTTCCTCCCATTTGTTGCCGTATGCAAAAAATAAGTTCACTAAATACATGACAGCATTTCAAAACAATTTTTTTTATTGGCGTATAGTTGATTTACAATGTTATGTTAGTTTCAGGTGCACAGCAAAGTGATTCAGTTCTCTACGTAGATAGCATTCTTTTTTAAAGCATGTTGGCTTGTATTTATCTCACTTTTGTGGTTTAAAACATGGGACTTAGAGACAGAGAATCCTGAATTCGAACCTCAGCTCTCGTTACTGTCTCGCTGTGTGACATCGGGCAGGTTGTTTGACCTCTCTGTGCTTCAGTTCACTCATGTATAAAATGGTGTCCCTCAAAGGGTTGTTGTAAGGGTCAGTTGTGGTCCTGTACGTGGTTAAGCTCGGCCAGATTGGCCCGTGTTGTTGGTGTTGATTTAGAGCCTAGAAAATTCTTCCATGGATTGTGTATTTCTGTTAAAACCATAAGCACGGCCCTTAGAAGATTCACGTTTCCTCTGTCGTCACAGTGATACATATTATGCCTTATTTTGTGCATCTAATGTATCTGAGGAAGTAGATGAAGAATCGTTACTTCCTTCTCTTCAGTCCTCTTGTCCAGACGTCTTTCAGCCGCTCCGTCTGCGGAGCTGTGCTTAGTGACGGTGGTCACGCCTTGCTCTCTGAGGTGACCTGTGGGAGTGGCCGGGGGCAAAGCCTTTCTGGCTGTGAAGGAAGCAGGCCCGGAACCTCGGATGGACATCCAGCCAAGGCAGGCACAAGGGAGAGGGGCTCTGAGGAGGTTTTTCAGAAGAAGAACCCTTGGGGTCCTTGGGAAACAGCTCAGTTATGAAGCAGGGGACCAGAGGGAGGAGGCATGAGGTAATGGAGTCGTGAGGAAAGAGGCAGCAGCTCTCAGAGAATCACAGGTCGCAGGGCAGGGATGCGACGATGGGCGGGAGGCACTGCGGCAGAGGAGATGGGGAGCGGCTTGTGTCCTGGGCAAGCCTGCCCGTGGAAGCGTCACAGGGCCCCTAAACATCGAAGCAGAAGAGCTTCGGGTGGGACAATCATTTGACTTGTCCTTGCCTTTCAGAAAGTGGTCTATGTTCTGTTTCCCGTCTAGGACATAGCATGATGGACACATTGGCTGTCGCCCTACGGGTGGCTGAAGAGGCCATCGAGGAAGCAATTTGCAAAGCAGAAGCCTATGGGGACAGCCTGGTATGCCCGCCCCTCCCTGTGGCCTCTCCTTTCCGGGGGGAGGTCTGGGTGGGGTCCCAGCTACCAGGAGAAAGTTGTCGGGAAACCGATGTCACGATAGCCTTCCTTGACGAGAGCCTTACCCGACCTCCCGCTGCCCTGGTGGCCAGGATCCCGAAAAAGATCACAGTCCCCCTCACCCAGCCACAGCTCCCTCCATTCCCCTGCCTCCCTCCACAGGACAAGCAGAATGAGGCCAGTTACCTGCGGGACCACAAGGAGGAGCTGACTGAGGAGCTGGCCACAACCATCCTGCAGAAGGTGGGTGGGCCCTGGCGTCCCGATGGCTAGAATGCAGCCCGGCCCAGACCAGGGGCTCTGGGGAGCAGAGGAGCCACCGCGGGCGCCGCTGTGGTCTTGGGCACTGTTTGTTCTGTGCCTCCTCCTTTTTGCCTTTTGTCTCTGGGGGCTAACGCACAGGATTGCCTTGCCCTGCACATGCTGAGCGGTGTGAGCGTGGTTGCCTTTAGGGACTGAGCTGGTGGGTGAGGAGCCGGGAACTCAGCACTGAGTAAGCTCACTGGCTTCCTGTGTGTGTGTGTGTGTGTGTGTGTGTGTGTGTGTGTGTGTGTTCTTGTCTTCTCAAATAGTCCCTTGCTGGAGCAGCTCTGCCATCACCCCTGCTCCCTCCACGCCCCCAGCGACCTCACATGGTGTACCAGTTAATTACCACCGAGAAACCAACTACCCAAGAATTCGGTGGCTTTAAGCAAGGGTTATTCCTGTGTTCCACAGCCAATTGTCCAACCCCAAATGAGTATCCTATCTTTCAGTTCAATTCTGACACTGACCACTCGGGGTTATTGGCACAGACCCCCCAATTTAAGGGCTCAGCCTCACTTGACTGCCCCCACTTCAGATGCCAGTGGCAAGTCTCAGGTGTCCCCAGGTTACTGAACTTCTGTCCAGCCTACCACAAATTCAGGGATTCCCATGACACCCCTCAGGTTAGGTAATTTGCTAGAATAACTCACAGAACTCAGGAAAGGGCTATACTTACAATTACGTTTACCAGAAAGGATACAAATGAACAGCTAGATGGAGAGACACACAGGGCAACGAGGCCTGGAGGTGGCGAGGGGCATGCAGAGCTCTCTCTGTACCCACCTCCCCCAATGCATCAAAGTATGTGCCAGCCAGAAAGGCAGCCTCATGGTTTCAGAATGTTTAATTGAGGTTTCCTTAAGTAGGCATGATTGATCAGATCATTGACCACCTGACTGAACTCAGTTTCCAAGACCCGAAGCCTTTCCTGATGACATTTGGTACCTGCCCCTCCTTAGGGCTTCCTAAAGTCAGGATGTCCAGCCAGAGATTCTGGGTTTGAGATGCAGCCCCACTGTTTATGAGCAGCACATCCTTAACTGATAACTTCTGTGAGCCTGTTTCCTCATGTGAAAACTAGCGAGAGTTACAGGATGGAGCTCTTGGAATTATTTTGAGAATTAAATGAGGTAAAGCATATCTGATGCCAAGCACAGAGCTTGGCACGCGATATGCATTTAATAAATAGAAAAGGTTGCAAACTGTAAAGTGCTGTAGAATGTTCATGGCTTTACATGTGCTGTTTGACCATAAGGCAGAGCTCAAACCAGCTGGTATTCTGCTGAAACCGAGCTCTTACGTGGCAAAAGCACTCCCAAAGGTGGTCCCATTTACCCCCGTCTCACGGGAGGCCTCGCCCATGACTTGCCCCCTTTTGTCACCGCCTCCTCCCAGATCATAAGGAAGCAGAAGAACAAAAGTGAGCAGCACGTGGACGAGGAGCCGGAGTGGCCGCGGCCCCAGAGCTGCAGGGTGAAGGCGGCCGGCGAGGGGCCCTCCGCCGCCCCGGGAGGCCTCCGGGCTTCCCCCAGCCTCTGGGTGAGTCCCCACGCGGCACCGGCCCGCCCCCCTCCCCACCGGGGCCCTGGTGTGACCGGCCCGGCCCCCCGTCCCCCACCCGGGGCCCCGTCGGTCGTGGCAGGTCAGAGCCGCTCTCCCCCACTGGAAGTGAGGGCCACGCTTCACATCTGGAGTGGACACGTGTCCTCCAGACAGCGCAGGGTTCCTAGAGGGCGGGGAGAGGTGGAGAGAGAGTTGAGCGGGGGCCTGTGCGAGAACGTGGAGGTGGGTTTCCGCGCGGAGACTCGTTTAGCAAAAATAACGACATCATTCAGCTTTTGAAAAATTCATTCTGAAAAGAGTTGTACTGAGTCCCGGGAGGGGAAAACACATGGCTTTATGATAGCCGTGTGTGTCCTTACAACTTGATAGCCTGCTTTCCTAAAACTTGAGTAGTGACAGCGAGAGAATTGTCATTGGCTCTGAGCCACCGTCCGGACATGGGTGGGAAGTCCTGATATGGACAGGCCTTTCTGTTCGTCACGCCCAGTCGCGAAGCACAGTGTCCTTCCTGTGACCCCAGGGTCTGGGCCTGCTGTGTCTGCAGTGAGTCACCAAGCCCGTGAGGTCCTCTGTGTGAGGACACGGGCATGCTCAGAAGGGAGCCGGAGAGGGGCTGGGCCTCCACGTGGAGGGGCAGCAGGGGCAGCAGGGCTGGTGTCCTGTCGGCTGCAGGCGCCCCTGGTCTTGTGTGGGACCAGGGACAGGGCGATACACGGGTGCTGTTTAAAGCTGGGGAGGCAGAGTGGAAAAGCATGAAATCATGCCTCTTGCAGAAACACGGGTGGACCTAGAGATGATCATACTGATTGAAAGACAAATACCATGTGATATCACTTAGATGTGGAACCTGAAAAATGATACAAATGAATCTATATACAAAACAGACTCGCAGACATAGGAAACAAACTTATGGTTACCAAAGGGGAAAGGGAGGGAGAGACAAATTAAGAATTTGGGATTAACAGATACAAACAGCTATATATAAAACAGATGAGCAGCAAAGATTTATCAATATCCTATAATAACCTATAATGGAGAATAATCTGAAAAATATGTATGTATATAGCTGAATCACTTTACTGTGTAACTGAAACTAGCACAGTATTGTAAATCAACTACACTTTAATTAAAGAAAAAAACCCTGGAACGGCAGACATGGGAAAAGCACCCCGAGGGTTTACCTTGCCCCTCCTGGGGGATCAGCGATACTCATCCCTGCAAGAGCAGGTTGAAAAGCGGGTGCCCCGCACGTCTGGGAGTGCTGGGCGGCAGCATCACCCACGTAAACTCTCCCCATGTCCTCACCAGCTGCCAGGTGCGTGGGGGTGACCAGGAGTATCTTTACGACTTTATCAGAGATTTAACTTCATTAAAAATCGGCGGACCCTTCCCTTGTCAACATGCTGTCAGCTTCTCTTACTGGCGTGGCACCAAGGAGAACAGAAGTAACTAGAAGTCTGTCTCTGCCCTCTGGGACCTTACAATCTGTTAGCAGAGCGCGCTGGCCACGTTTCAGGGCCTCAGCACCACCTGGGGCTGGTGGCTACTTTATGAGACAGTGAAGAGAGAGATTATTTCTGTCCTCTGTGAAAGTTTTCTTACCCAGCACTGGCCTCGGGGGGTGAGATGAAGAAAGAGTGAGAAACAGCATAAAAGCAGAAATGCTCCAGGGTGTGACCTGGCGGCCCAAGCCTCGGTCCCTGGGTGCCTGGTGGAAGGTGGCTCTCCTGTCTTCCCATGAGCTGCTCTCACCATGGATGCTCATCCACACCAGCAGCCCGAGCCCCACTCCAGAGGCCCTGACTCGGGGTCTGGGCTGGAGCCTGGGTGCCTGTCCATTGGCCCTGAGCTCGCGGGTGACACAGCAGGCTGCAGACTTAAGGAGGCTCTCTTCGTGATCTCTCGAGAGGGGGGCACCCTGGCCTGCAGGCCCTCGAGGGCCCTCAGCCAGTGGCCTCCTGGCAGTGCTTCCTCCGGTATCAGGTCTCATCTCAGATGACATGGATGCTCTGGCTCAGGGAGTCACTCCGCAGAACCCCCAGAACACCCCAGGCCTCCCTACTCGGGCTTAATGGCCAAACCCAGACTCCATCCATCCCCGTTCCGACAGGATTTCTCATCTGCTCTCCTGAAAGAAAGTTCAGTGATTGTTCTCTTTTTAATTTCCTGCCTTATTGTGTGGTTCTCTGCCAGTAGACGGGGTCAGTGTAGTCAGGCTTCCAAAGACTTAAGATGCAATATCCTAAAAGGCGCCAGTGCAGGGGTTATAATTCATCAAATGCCTGTCTCTTTGGGCGCGTGTGTATAAAAAATCATCTCCGTAATAATGTGGTGATGCTGTTGATAACAGCAGGGGCTGGGCGTACGCTGTGCCCGGCGACCAGGGTGTGTCTATGCCTGTCTCTGTCTCCTGTCTGTTTTCCTCAGCCTTTTCTCTCTGTGTCTTTGTCATTTTCCTCCCTCACATTTGCTCTCTCCTTTAAATGACCATAGTACAGACCTAAAGGATTTTTCATTATCGTTGTAATGATTGGGTTGAATTTAATGGCTCCACTGGACCCTAGAAATACACAGCAAAGCTAAGTCCCAGGTGTTACTCATCTGGACACTGTTATTCGTGCCTTTGCCTCAATGCTGAAAACATTTTCTTCCTGTTCTATGTCGTGGGCTCCTGTAGAGCAGAGATTATCTTGAAGCCATGATGGGGGCCCCAGAGAGTCTGCCCTGGTGGTGATGATAATCATTGCAGTCTATAGCAACAATATATCCTCCCAAGAGATACAGGCAGAACAGGGCGCTGCTGCCCACACCGGGGACTCACGGCTGCCAAGGAAACGTTAGCAAAGGTGACTGATGATCACACTGTGAGTTTCACCTAAACCTTCAGCACCAGCCAGTTTGGATGGCAAGTCCTGGGTTGGAGCGTGCTCCCCAGGAGTGCCCTGTCCCCAGGCTTTCAGCGAAGGCTGTCAGGGTCGTCACTGAGTGGGCATGGAAGAGCATCACCTTGCAGCCAGGCAGACCCTGCCTCTGCCCCCACCGGCTGTGTGCTTGGGCAAGTTACTCTGCGCTGCCGCAGCTTACCCACACGCACACGGCTGGACTGAGTGAGGGGATGGAGCTGTTGCACTGGCTTGGCGATGGAGCTTAATAAATGCTCCTGTTTTGACTGTTACTTACTGAGTGCATTCTGTGTGCTAGGCGGGGCGCTGATCCCTTTCTGTGAGGACGCTGAGGCTTTGAATAGCTGAAGTTCCTTCCAAGAGGGCTCAGAGCAAGAGGAAGAGCTGGCTCTGGCCCAGCACACTCCCTATTAATGCTTGAAGAGCTAAGAGGCAGGGCCTGTTTGAAACTGTCTAGGCTTTGCTGGCAGGCTAACATTCCCGGACCCCTGGACTCCACCCACCAGGCCAGCCCCCCAGCAGAGATGTGGACCCTAGGGTGGGTGAGAGGAAGGAAAACAGAAGCTGTGAGTGGGAATGAAAGAGTGGGTACAGAGGGCCAGCCAGGGTAATAAAGCAAATAAATTAATCAAGGTCCCAAGAGCTACAGAGGTTGAACCGACTGGCAAGTAAAAGCGTTGTGGTGGCGCCACCTCCTGGGCCATATGCTGATTGCAATGCATTTGAGGCAGACCGAGGTCTAGGTCCAAAACTGGGGCTTTTCCACCCTGGCTGGAGACAGCCGGCCAGCAGTGCCCTGAGACGTGTTGGAGGCAGCTTCTGGGGGCTTTTTGTGATTGTCAGGATGTAGCTTTTTATCCCCTAGTATGAGACAGTGGCCTGCCTGAAATAGATTATAAAAGCCTGGCATCTTCAACTCTTACGTGACAAACATAGATTCCATCTTCCCTGCTGGGACCAGAGAAGAGCTTTTCATTTCTTGATCTTGGCTTTTGTAGGTGAGGGAGCACTTTATCCTATAGAAATGGACCCCAGCCACCTCCGACAGACACACACATACAGAAACCAAACATCGTTGGAGCCACTGCTAAGTGAAATATTAACTATTATTTCCTCCCTCTTTTAAACATGTATTCAGTGATTTACAGTGAGAAGCTTGAAGATAGAAAAATAAAAGCCAGGGTATAGAAGATGCTCGGGTGAGGTGGCAGTTCGCCCGCAACTGGCAGTGAGCCGTCAGCTCCTTACAGCCAGACCTGTGTCTCACATCCTGCAAAGTCAGTCACTGACATGGGACCAAGGGTCACATCCAAAAAACTGTCCCTGCCTTCAGGGAGCTCACGGTCTGTGGAATAGTCGACAAGTCTGTAGCAGAGACAGAAAGGTCATGTGGTGACACAGAAGGGGGTCTTCTCGCCACTTCAAGGTGGGAGGTGTGTCAAGGATATGTCCCCCTGAATACATGGGGGGTTGCCATGGAAGGATTTTTTTCTTCATTCTGAGTAAGTTCACTTGCCAACAGACTGTCAGCCGTGATCTCTGCTCTGTAATAGCCGCCTGTCATCTATCTGTCAAGGATTTCGCAAAATCATAGATGGCTTCCTGAATACCCAGCCCCAAGAAAACCTTGGTTGTTGTCAAGGGTCAGAGCTGTTCAGGTCACTAGGGACAGGATCAGTGCTTATGGAGCCCTCAGAATGACAGAACTGGTGCCCAGCTGGAGCCACTTGATGTGTGTGTGTTAGCTTGGTCTCCTCCAAGTGGGACCTTGCCCTCCGGAATCTAAGTGAGGGTGACAGCGGGCCACGGCTTCTTTGTTTCTGTTGCTCCCCAATCTTATCCAAGATGCTAGCAAGGTTAGAAAAAAAATAATAATATAATCAGGCACTTCTGAAAATCTACCCTGTAGCCCACCCCAAACCCCACACAGTCCACGGTAAACGTTCATTCCAGTTCTGTACCAGTGACCGTGCCAGGGTTGGGGATGTCACTGTGAACAAGCCATTAACTGCCCTCGTTGCCTGCAGTCTGGTGGAGACACCAGGCGAAAAACCCAGATGTTTGCAGTAGAGTGTAATACAGCCCAGGAAACACAGATGAAGCCCAGGACCCTCAGCCCAGCGTGGGAAGGACTGTGGCTGGCTTGAACTGAACGCACACAGCATCTCATCCAATTGACAGAATGGGGAGAGTCATTCCTCCCCGGGCTGTGCTGACCTATGACCACTGCGTTGAACGGCAGGTCTGGAGACTAACCTTACTCTCTTATGTCACCCGGATAGGAGGCGAGTTGCCACCCTTGGTGCACAGCTAAAGGGTTCCGTATTTGTCCCGCAAACCCATCTTCCTCCTAGACCGGCCTCCAGGTCTTATAGGTGGAAGCTCTTTCTGAACCAGAACTGGCTGCACCACCCTCTCCAACAGAGTGTGCCGGACGCCCTCCATGTGAGGGCTGTGGACCCTGGGTGGGCCCGCAGTGACGAGGAGGCTGAGCCTCCGTCCTCGGCCTCTCTGAGTCTTTCCTCAGACCATTAACCATTCTTCGGGCAAGGCTACATACAGAGAGCGTTGTCTTCTCCCCAAACCCTAGTCATGAAGTTTGATTTCTCAACTAAATACTTCTTTAATTTTTAAATTTATTTATTTGTTTATTTATTTATTTAATGGAAGTGTAGTCGATGTACAATGTTGTGTTAGTTTCTGGTATACAGCAGAGTGATTCATACACACACACACACACACACACACACACATACATGTTCCTTTTTATATTCTTTCTCATTAGAGGTCACTACAAGCTATTGAATATAGTTCCCTGGGTAGGGAGGTCCTTGTTTATTTTATATATAGTGTGTGTATCTGCAAATCTCCAACTCCCAATTTATCCCTTCCCTCCTCCCCCTGTAACCATAAATTTGTTTTCTATGTCTATGAGTCTGTTTTGTAAATAAGTTCATTTGTGTCCTTTTTTGTTTTAGATTCCACATATAAGTGATATTATATGGTATCTTTCTTTCTCTTTCTGGCTTACTTCATTTTGAATTATGATCTCCAGGTCCATCCATGTTGCTGCAAGTGGCATTATTTTATTATTTTTTATGGCTGAGTAGTATTCTGTTGTATAAATATACCACAGCTTCTTTATCCAGTCATCTGTCGATGGACATTTAGGTTACTTAACATCTTGGAGCTGGTGTTTACTATTTTCCTTTTTTTATTCTCAACACCTTTTTTGAGCTTCCACTTATTAGACATTTACTCTGTGTGTGTACAAGACAAGCTAATGTTTTCACGTCTCTCAAGACATTGTCACTCAGCCAAGCTGTTGTGGAATTGGAGCCCAGGAACGGCTGAGTCCTGAGTCCAGCCTCAGCCA